TCAATACCAGAACTGAGAATTAACTGAGGAATCAAAGATTTGATTCCTGGATAAAACCAGTGGGGAGTGTAATGGACATAACTGTGGGAAATTACTAGGAGGGAACTTATGTTCTCACTCCTGTTATATACTCTGAAAATTAATGTGGCTCTTGTTATTTTTCTATTGGGCAAAGCTGGAAGGGACCTCTACCTCTTTGAGGGTCGCTTTCTGGCTCAAGTGCAGATGCTTCAGCCTGCTAATGTTGTACACAGCTGATGTGTTTCCACCATAACTATATCTTGTAACAGGCCCCATTTGGGGCAAGTTCTGATTATCACTAAAAACTGTGAAAACCTCCTAGTCATAAACAGCTTGCAGCTATGTCAATAGGGCTTGCTATAAAAGACTGAGCTTACCTCTGTTTTGCGGCTGGTTGATGCCTCCCTGAGTGGAGTGAGGCTGGCTAGCCTCTGGACCAGCTAATAAAGGCTCACTAAATTCTAATCTGTTGTGGTCTCAGTCTCGATTGAATTCAAACCCAGTACTCAAAGAAACCACAGAGAATAAGTGTGGCTGGTTTCCAAGTGTGAAGCAGATGGAAACATTCGAATTCCTAGGTGCCTGGCATGGCATAGTATCTAGGCCTTGGACTGGGTGCTCTTGACTCTTTTGTTCTTGTTCTCTGTCTCTCCCCTGTCTTTGTACCATGATCAGGTGAGCTGCATACACGTAGTCTGCTCCAAGAGCTATGCTCCTATTACTGTTGACACTTAATTGTTGGGAGAAGCTTTCTTTTCATTTTCTTCCCTGACACCTTGCTAGAGCTGAGTGTACTAAAGGTGCTCAGGGAAACTCTCTTGATGTGGGCTTTCTGTACAGAGAGAAGACTCCATTCCTTTCCTCACCAGCCTGCACAGGAAAAAGATTCCCAAACTCTCCAAGTGCTCATTGTGCCCTCTCCAGGAAAGGGAAAGGCTGTTGTACACATCTTTGGCACTGGTGAGTATGTCTTGGGTTGGTCTCCCCCAGCAGTGAGATCTCATACTGCAGTTTCAAGATGGGTTCAGGGATACTGCTGGATGGTTGACTCTGGTCATATTCTATATTACAACTTTAGCTATAGTTTTGCTTAGGGATTTAGACAATTGCTTGGAAATCTATAAAATTGATGCTTTGGGGCTACTGAGCATTTATACATACACTGCAGGAGGCAAGATGTTGGCTGTGTGTGAGGATTTGTAGACACAATTCCCTGAAAGCCTGACACCATTCTGAAGAACTTCTTTTGGGTTTATTGAGAAAAAGGAAAGAGGTGAAAGACAGGCCATGTGGTCCAGTGGAAAAACCAAAGCTCTGTGTGCTTGAGCTTGCAGTTCCAAAACAGCACCTGTAGCAAGTCATGTGTAAAGTAATGGTCCTTAAAACATTATTTTTAGTCTTTAATAGTGGAATTTAAAAATCTACCTTTTAATAGAGCAAATAATGCACTAAAGGAACGTAGCAAGAACCTAAGAAAATGTTATCTGTCTTTCTCATGGTGTCATTGCATTGAAAGATCAATGGGCAGAATATTAATTACAACACAAGCTTTATAGCAAGGTACTGGCGCTGCATAAAATTTCTCTGGAAATCTCTGTAGCAGTTCTGTAGCACTCATTTATTTTTGCACTCAAAAACATTATAACATCAGATTGTAAATTTCATCTAATTTTAGAGCTATTCAGGCATCCAGGGGTTCTGAATGTGCTTTTGCATTGTTGGTGCACGGAAGAAGCAAAGAAACCTTTCATTTCTGAAATCTAGTTGCAAAAAGAATGACAAGGGATTTGCCAACAGCTCCAACCAGATCATTTCTAGACATTACATTCTAATTACCCTCTGCAGTCTGTCTGTAAAATAAGATTTAGTTTGATACTCTGATTCAACATTGGCTGGGAATGCAGGAACAGTAGGAATGGGTGGACAGCCTGTATAGCTTGCGGTGCACTAGAAACAGAAAGACCATAGGAAAAGATGACACTTGTACAACACTGTAGAATCTGCAGAGAACCCACGATTGCAACTGTGCATTCAAACCTTGCAACTACTCTGAGAGGAAGATATTCTTAGTCTTTTCAATGGAAGAAAACTATGCAGTTTGGAAGGAGATGGGAACCAGAATTTGCAAAAAAAAAGGGGCACGGTTGATTTAAATTATACTGACCTCAATTATTCCTGTTTTAAGGTGAGGCAATCAAAACTTCACAGAGGATGAATTTATATAAATAGAGCAAGGAAGATGCACAGAAAATAATCAGACTTTCTATCTGTCTGTCTGACTGTCTCTCTCTCTCTCTCTCTCTCTCTCTCTCTCTCTCTCTCTCTCTTTCCTCTCATATTCACTACCTCTGTCTTCTTCCCCTCTTCTTTCCCCTTTTCTTCTCTGTCTCTGTGAATGTCTATTTCTCTCCTTTGTCTCTCTCTTTTATCACTAAGTACACAGAATTAGATACATTATTCTGTAAGCATAAAAGGTATTTTATGGTATTTTGTAGTCTTTCCTCAGTTTACCTTCTGGGAAAGGAACATTTATGAACATGTGGGAACTAAAGAAGTCAGCTGGGTTAGAACTGTCTGCCTTTGCCAGGGTCCATTAAGTTTTGCTTCAGGAGCTGGAAATTAGCTGTGGCCATATGAGTAGTGATCACCTCATCTGCTAAAAAGCCACGACAGAAGAGGTGAGGCAAAGGCACCAACCAGCTGCTTAGTTGCAAGGCATCACATAGGATGAGTTGGAAAGGAAACAAGCACACTGAAGAAAGCTTTTGCTGTGTCAGGAGCAATCATACCACTCAGTTCCCACATGTGGATTGTCTGGTCATAGTTCAGAAGTTTGCTTCAGGTCAGCTTTTCCTGTCTAGGAAGCAGGTGAAGTTGGAGCACTAGCTATACTGCTTATGTAAGATTCAGCTGAAACCCAGGGTCACAGACTCCTTCAGTCTAGCTGCTAGGTGAGATTCTGGTGTCCTCTCTCCTGGTCATGCACTTGGGATCTACTCAGACTTGCTGTGAAGTGTGATCCAACTTCCTCTGGAGGCCAGTGGCCCTTCCTGTTCAGCGACAAGTCCAGGTTGTCAGGGGCATTTGGGTCTCTCCCTTCTATCTCACTCTCCACAGCCAATTAGACACTGGGAACTCTGAACACTGCCCTAACATATCTAAAAAACCCTCCCTGTCCTTTGCCTTCTACAACTGCTTTCATGTCTCTACTATCTCTTGATTGGATTTTACAAAATAACTTGAAGTGCTGGGGATTGAACCCAGGACTCTGCATGCTAGCCAAATGCTGTACCACTGAACTATGCCTTAGCATCTCTCTTGCTTGGAGTTTTACAATTGCCCGCTCCTTACCCGTGTCCTTTCCTACTCATTACTCATGCTCACTGTGATTATTTAATTAAAAATTCTATAATGTTTTTAAATAAAATGCTTTAAAAGAGTCTCCTTTGTCAATCAATCACAGTGCCTTAATAAGATTCACATGACACAGATCTTCTCCTTCGGAACACTGTTTCCAGTCTTTCGTTCCCTCAACCCTTCCTGGTCATTTTCATGGCTGACCAGCTCCTTCCAGAGCATTGGGCTGTGGGGGAAGCATGCTCTTCTGTGACTCACAATGCTGATCCATCTTCACTTTAGATGACAGTCACCTTCCTGTATCACAGCTGCTTAGCTAATTGTTCAACTTTTACTTCCAGTAAATGGTAAGCCTTATGATGGCAAGAATGTTTGTATGTCCCACTGTCCACCCGACAGGTGCATAGTATATCCTCAATACCCTATAAACCCTGTGCTCCAAGCATCCAGAGGGGTCATGCAACTGTGTGACCATACTAACCTCTGGTCCTATTTCTCCACAGGTAGAAGTGAAGAGGGAATTCCAGGAAGTTTGAATGAATATTTTGCAAGCTCTCTTTTCACGACCCTACTCTTCTTAAACAAAGGGATAATTAAAATATACATGTATGTCTAGATGCATATGCTATATATGTCTATTTATATGCTATGCATGTAGATACCTAGGTAGATATGTATATGCTACACAGGGAATAAATCAGAGAAGGCTATCAAGAGAAAGTGATTTTGTTTGTTTCTCAGACAGGGTCTCACTATGCATTTCAGGGTGGCCTGGACTCATTATGTATCCTCAACTCATGGCAATCCTCTCACCTAGGCCTCCTCCATGCTGAGATTACAGTTATGTGTCACCATGCCTGGCTAAGGACAGTGGTTCTGAATTCATGTCATAATATTTTTCACCTGAGAGACCTTGGGCAATGTATTTCATTGGTCTGAGCCTCAGTTGCCATCTCTTTAAAATGAGTACTGTTACAGTACCTAACCCCTGGAGATTTCTGGAGTTATTGTATGAAGAGTAGTATATGGAAGTGACTGGGTCTTATATAGGTGCATATAGGCACTCTTGAAGTCTCAATGTTGCTGACCCAGCAAACTATGATGTTATATCTACGAATAACTCCCAAGGACAACTGGATAAGTAAATGGTGATTGAAGGTCTTAGGGAGAACTACTTTCTGTATCAATAAGTACAGTATTAATATGAGTGGGACCTATTTTGACTTTGGTTGGTTGTTTTTATTCAGACTGGGAAGAAGACTCTTGCCCAGGATGAGAAATGAAGTTATTTTGCTATCTAAGTCAGTCATAATCATCAAATTAAATTATCAAACTGATTGTCAAACTGAATTTTCAAATGCATTGGTATGGAACCTGGGTCCTGTCAGCATAATTTTGATCCCTAGAAAGGGCCACTTGATTGGCCCTTTCTCAGTAAGAGCCTATCATCTCACAGAGACATGTCACCTGACTTCTTAGTCCTTTTGTGTTTACCTGGTAGTTATGTATGCAGGTATGCATGCATGTATGTATATATTTATTTGTACCGAGAATCAAACTCATGATCTTGCACCTGCCAGGCAGGCACTGTGCCACTGAGCTATCTCCCCGGCTGTATTTACCTTGAAGAAGGAAGCAAACTTTGTATTGCCGTGATAAACAGTAGGACGATAAATGCACAGACCAGGTTTGACTTGAATACTTCATCTCTCATTTGAGAATACTGTAATTAAAAAAAAAGAATGAATTATTTTGTGGCATATTTGAACCTTTGGAAGAGTTAAGTTTTATCAGTGTCTAAGATTAGGGGAAACTGAAACAAGAAACAAGACAATTTAATACTTTTTTTTAAATATTGAGAAGAATCCATCACTTCCTGAAACTCTCCTAGGGCACTGTCCCCATTCTTCCTGCCAAACTACCAGTCAAAGAAAGCCCAGAAGTAAATACAACTCCTTTTATGGCAAAAGTTCTGAGAGGAGGAGTTTGCCTCTGTTTATCCATGGCTTCCCCTCTCTGTAAAATTATAGCAACTGTAACAAAACTGAAGCACATGAAGCAATATGCATAGAAAATAACACTCACATTGTATTTCTTCCAGGGTAAATTTAAGTCACCTAAGGACCTTGCTATGATTATCATTAGCTTAGAAGACATGGCAAAATGTTTTACCGGGAAGTCTTTCCTGCTAGAAAATCGCTAGTTAGTTTTCTCAGCAAAGAGACACCCAGATGGACAGTTATGTACACATTGCCCTTCAGTTGTCCACTGCAGCTGGCCCTGGGGAATGGTGGTAACTTAATTTTAGTTGCCCAGAGTAGCCAGTAATTTCATTGTCCTGCTTTAAAATCTCCCGCAAGGTTGGCATTGAGTGCTTGTTTGCCTTATTCTTGCCTCCTATCTCAAACCATCTCAAAGTCACTAAATTGAGAAATAATTTACTTCTTTCAGAAAGAAGGAGGGCTTATAAAAACCTAGAAAGATCTGAGAATTAGTCTAAATCCAAACCCCCATTTTGCCTTCACTGCAGAGAGGGTCTATGTTGATCATCTTATTTTGGCATGTTTGGAAGAAAGAGAAATCTAGGCCTGGCATTGTTGCTTTGTAAGCCCTGATAAGGATTTCAAGTCATTTTACCTAGGAATATGACAAAGAATGCTCTCATGACATCTTAGGCCTCATGTCCACAATGCCAAGATAAGGTTTCAGCAAGGTCAGTGCAATAATGAAATTAGTCTAACTTGGTTCTTGGTGTGGTGTTCGCAATAACAATTATGAGATTTTTCACTCTCACTGACTTTATGCTATTGTCTGGGTTCTAGACTGGAGTTTACTCTTCAGTGTCGTGACTAAAAGTTTGGGAAAAGGTGTGAAGCTGATGAGATAACTAGGAGAGTCATGATGCAGTTTGGAGACTGTGCAATTACAGCTTTTATCCTCCTCTCCCCCAGCATGGAGGCTTCTCAGTTGCTGGTGACCTAAAGTACTCGATATCTGGAGGGGCTCCATAAACATATCCTGAAGACTCATTATAAGCTATACTCACTCATGATAAAGCAATGGGAAAATCCATGTTATTAATAGTTACCAGTAGTACTATCTAAGAACCAGGTACAGCTCCAGGATGCATGCAAATAGCTTGAAAACGAGTAAGTTAGGCACAAAAATGGTCAATCCAAAGAAAGATCAATGTCTGAATTCTACAGCACCCAACTGAATAAGGAAATTTAATTATTTTTGGATGACTGTTTAATTTTAAGCAAACTTGGTTAAATGGGTTTGATACTGCAATTTTAACAAGTCAAAACAAGTAAGTTTTAATGGGTTTAATCTAATGTCTTATTCTTAATGTCTTTCTTTATTTGTGATCATCACCATCATAATCACTATCATTAGCATCATCTTCATCCTCATTGTGGTTGTCATTACCATTGTCATTATTATTGCCGCAATATCTCCAACTTGTAATGGACCATCAATTCTCAGTGTTGGATTCACTTTCCATAACAATTGGGATGTCTGCTCAGAAGTCTGGTGATCATTCTCAGCTGACCACTATTTTGTTAGGGGAGTGGATTATTTTCCCTTGTAATCTGGGACAGGGTGTTGTAGGATCTTAAACATCTTCCACCTGAACACCTGTGTTTATAGTGATATTAAGCCAGTTAGTTGTACACTTGTGCTGCCAGACTTAGGTACTCCTGTCTGGCCGCTGTTCTTTTCTCTCCTGGTCCTTTTTATCTTTTTATACCTCAGTGGCAAACATGAACTAATCTATAAATAGACTAGTATTTTTTTAGTTTAGGGAAGGGTGTGCAGGGTGTTCGGGGTCTCAATACTAGATCGAACTCACAGTGACCTGCTTGTTTACAGCCTCCCAAGAGCTGGGATTACAGGTGTGCACCACTATGCCCAGTCTCAAGTTCAGTCTCAGTACACCCTGGGGGCAAGGATAGCGAGACAGGCCCAGGGTTTGAACCCCTGACCCCTGCACCTGGCAGGCACTTTAAGCCACTGAGCTATTTGGCCCGCCCTATAACTAGACTAGTTGATTGGAATATTAACTCCAATACCTACCAGAATTCAACCTTGGGCAAATTTACTAAGCGTTCTATTTTCTATATTCTAGAAAATGCATGTAATATAATTTTTCTTCTGGTAATAGGAAATGAACTCATGACCTTGTGCTTACCAGGCAGGCACTGTGTTAAAGAGCTATATCCCTGACCAAAAATGAGTATAATGGTAACAGCTATCATATGAAGACTATTGGGTAGATGAAATGAGCTAAAAATATATGCTAAATCTTTAGAAAAGTGTCTAGGTCACAATAACATAAATGCTTCCAACTGTCAATGAATTACACTTATTGCTATACTTTTACCTTTGTGAAACTTATCTTTTCAACCATGGCATTGCCATCTAAAGTGTTCTTTATTTCTTTGTATACAATTGCACCTTGCATTTGGTCGAGTCCCCAGAAATATTGCTAGTTGAATATATATTATGTTAGAAAAGATCTTTCAAAAGGGATTATGACTTCTCTTATGAACCTTTCACTTAAGAAAATACCCTGCTGTTATCATTCCCCTTGATTCATAATATATCACCCACCCAAGAGTGGCATTCTTTGCCTTTCCATGGATTCTTAGGAAGGAAGTCCTTGGAAATGCTTACTGGACCTTCATGATTTACCAAATCCTTATTGTAGAAGAAAGCTTGGTCATATAGTTACTTTTTCCAGATAAGAAATTTGAGGATCAGCCATGAGCACATGCTTGTCCCTGTCAATTTGTTAGTAGTAAAGTTTGGACAACTGGCACATCAACTGGCTGCAGCCAAGTTCACAGATCTACTCTCTATGGGCAGGAAATGACTGAGGCAGTACTCAAGCCCACTGCAATGAGACTCATACAAACTAAAAATATTTTTTAAAAAAAACTACAAATGTTTCCCTGAAAACTTCTCTATTAGAATTTAGAATATTATTTTTCAGCCTATATGGCTTGAGTTGAATCAGGGCAAGGTCAATATTCAATGTGTTGAATAATAATCAGAAATGTCTAGCATGAGGCACGTGTTGTGCTAGATGCTTTACGGTAACCTTGCTTAATTATGGTAACACTTTGAAGAAGATCTTGTTTATCCCATTCACGTTGTAGAGGTAGAAAAACTGAAGATTAAAATGGTTGAGCAACTCAATCACACTTCCACACAACGTAAATGGGGGGATCTAGAGTTGGATGCAAGGTGTGCAGTCTCTCTGGCTGCTGTTTTGCTATCTTCAGTATAACTCTGTTCATTCTGTGCGTAATGATATCTCTCAACTCATTCCAGAGATGTAATTAATGATACAGCAAAAGGGGATATGTAGGGGCTGGGGATTCGGCTCAGCGGTAGAATGCTTGCCTAGCAAGCTGGAAGCCCTGAGTTCGGTCCTTGGCACCAAAAACAAAAAAACAAAAACAAAAAAAGGGAATATGCTAAAAATTGGGATCTGTAAGACTTGGTTAGATTTATAGAGAAGCATGACTTGAGCAATGAGTAGTCTCAGAAGCACTGTGAGTTAGTTTAGTAGGACAGCACTGTTGCATTTTCATGAATAATGATAACTAAAGAGCCGCTTCTTTGGGTCTTGATGGGTAAATTGATAATGGAATAAAACCAAAGAGATTGTGGATTTTATATAGAATATTACAAAAAAAGAAGAGGTACAGTCTGGGGAATGATTATGAACTTGTTTCAGAAATGAAAACTCGGACTTGATTTGAGGAAGCTAACACTTGGCATTCATTCCCACGGAATGATGTAAGAAGACTTGTTTGGTTTTGTCCATTTCTGGGGACAATGTTGGCACAAGACTCTCTTGAAAGTTATCTTCAGACCTGAAAGCAGAGCCTTGTGGGCTAATGAGTCCTACATCTGTCATAAGGAGATGGAGAGAGTTCAGTCTGATCACATGAAGGAAAAGCGCATGCTAGAGTCCTCATCCACAGAAGGCTGACCAACAAAGTCAGCTGCACAGGTGATAGGCAGAGCTTCCAGTCTTCTATGTTTCTGTGCCTGAGATAGTCTTCAGAAACTCTCCTTGGTGGTGGTAGGGAATTGCCCTCCTCTCAGTTTCTCCATTTCAAGTATAAGCTGGAGGGTGCTGTCAGAGTTCTCTCTAAATATAAGATACAGAGAATGCTTCCAATTACAGCAATTATCTAGTTAATTGGCAAAACTGCCACTGTGATATATCTTTTAACCTAAACTGTAAGTGACATTATGAAATCTGATCTGTGGAGTTGATTGTACTTGTCATCTTGGTCCAAACCTTACTAATGGTAATTTTCCTCAGTAATATTTCTCAGAAATGAGAACATAAACTTTTCTGTGATGGCAAAATCAGCTCTTCACTTGAGATTCCATTCCATCATTGGAAAAATCTACTTTGAAGAAAGACATTTCTCTAATGCAGCTTTTGTTGGTATGAATCAATAAAGCATTGTTTCCGTCAGGATGATTTCGCACAAGTGAATGTAGAAATTTAACTTCTGCTCTATTGTTAAATTCATGAATTATGTAGTATGGCAATGGCTTATGGCATCTTTAAATTATAGTATTTGGATAAATGGCATAATTGCAAACAAGTCAGAATCTAATTTGCAATAATTTAAAAATTTTGAACTAGAGCATTTTTATAGTCAGGCTGTGCAAGGGAAACAATTTAATAAAGGA